AGTGCTGAGATTACAAGTGTGTGCCTGAAAATAATTTTATTTAGTTTTTTAATGACTATAATTTTGAGAAGTGGAAAATAACAAGTGTTGGTAAGGATACAGAGAAACAGGAAACCTCATACATTGCTGCTGGGGATGTAAAATGATAAAGCTGGTATGAAAGTTTCATAGTTCCTCAAAAAGTTAAATGTATAATTATCACTTGATCCAGCAACTCAAACTCCTAGGAATATACATCAAAGAACTGCAAAAGAGGATTCAAATTGCTATTCGCACATTAAAGTCCACTATAGTATTATTCACAATAGCCAAGAGGTAGAAATAGCTAGGCATGGTGGTATATGCCTATAATCTCAGGACTCAAGGGACTGACACCAGGGCTAGTCAGCAAGTTCAAAGACTGGCCTAGACTATGTAGTGAGACCCTGCCTCAAAAACAAAAATAAAATGATGGAAATAACCCAAGTGCCTATCAACAGATGAATAGACAAAATACGGTACATACATACAATGGAATGTTATCAACCATTAAAAGAAAATGAAGTTCTTTTTTTAAAATTAATTGTATTGGTACATTTAAGGTATACAATGTAATGACATTTATCATTAGAAATTTGCACCCTTACATAATCCATCTTGGTTCTTTATTTTTTCCCCATTCCCCTGCCCTCCCTTCAACCCCTCCACCCCTCCCTATCTACAAAGACTTTGTTTCCATTTCTTTTTTCATGTTAATTCCATTCCCATCTTTCTTTTCCCCAACCCTTCCCATTTCCCCTTCCCCTTTGCACCTTTTCTTCCTATTCCATGTTATCTATTATACCTTTTATTCCTTATTTACATTTCAGTTTATCACACTAGAGAAACTATTCGGTATTTACACAGATAAGTCCTATTTTAAAAGAAATGAAATTCTGATGCAAGCTACAACAATGTGGACCTTGAAATACTATGCTAAATATTATCCTATATAAAAAAGCATAAACACTGTATGACACCATCTATATGAAATATCTAGACAAGTTCATAGGAACAAAATGTAAATTAAAGTTACCATGGGCTGGAGGAGTGAGAATGTGAACTCACTGCTTAACAGATACAGAATTTCTGTCTGGAGTAATGAAAACTTGTTGAAAGATAATATAATAGCTGCAGTGTTGTAAATATTTATTGTCGGTGAATTGAATGAGCACTAAAAATAGCTAATATGACAAGTTTTATTCCATACATATTTTACCACAATAAAAAGTAGAAGGAAAAAGATGCTACAAAAGAAGTAAATGATGTTACAGATCTACATTTACTGGTATAAGTTTATCAATATATTACTAGGTAAAAAAAAGTTACATGATACTTAACATATGGTCAAATTTTTGTATAAATATGTAAATATGAACATACATAAAGGCTAAGAAAAATATTATCTTTGGATGGAAGAATAAGTGACACTGGTGTGTATACCCTTGCTTATTTCTCTGCAATGAATGTTCCTTATATTAAAAAAAAAACTAGTGCTGGGGATTTTAGCTCAGTGGTTCCACTGCTTGCCTTGCAAGCACAAGGTCCTGAGTTCAATCCCTCAATCCTGGTATAAAAAACAAAAACTCTAAAAAAAATAGATAAACTAGGCCTGGTGGTACACGCCAGTAATCCCAGTACTTAGAGGCTGAGACAGGAAGATCAACGTGAATTCAGGTCAGACTGAACTATACAGTGAAGCTCTGTCTCAAAAAAAAAAAAAGACTTAATAGAAATTTAAAATAAACATGGTAAATAGGCTAAAGGTGAAAAGAGAAACTAGGTACAGCTGCCCTGCCCCCTCCATCCCTAGGTTCCACACTTTCCATTTCAACTAGAAGCAGGTCAAAAATACTGCTAAAAGGGGGGTCAGAGGTGGAGCACCTGCCCAGCATGAACAAGGTCCTGAGCTCCATCAGCAACACCACATAAATAAGTAAATAAAAGCACATGCCTCTACTAAGCATTTACACACTGCCACCATTAATCTTTAAGCATCAGAGTATGACAACTATTTATACAGTATTTACATTCTACTAAGTGTTACAAGTAGCCCAGAGATGATTTAAAGGACACAGGAGGATTGCACAGGTTATGTGTAAAGGACCCTGACATCCTTGGGAGGGGTGTCCTGGAACCAACTCCCCATGGGAACCAAGGGACACCATACAAACTGGAAAAAGAAAGTACACAACAAAGTGCACACTAGGCAAAGGAGAAATAATAAAAACAGTAGGAATGAAGACATTGTGCAAGAGTAAAAGGCATGAGAAGAATGAGAGAACTAGAGAAAATGTAGAAACAGCACAGAATCCTAGACAATATCTTAACTACAAGGAAATGGAATGTGAGACTGGTAAAATGGTTTGCATATACTTTGGCAGATATACCCAAGACTACATTTTTATTTCATGTAAGTAATTTGGCTTCTTTGATATCAGCCTTAAATTGAGGCTAGGATTTAGATTTCTCCCATCTGGCACTGAAAAGTCACCAAAGACAGGGATAAAAGAAATAATTTCATCAGTTTTGTGTCTTGTCTGATGAGATAATGTTAAAAGGTCAAATTTTGCAGGAAAGGTTAATGAAATAAAGGAACAGTGAATTACTTTAACACCACTAAAACACAGAGAAGTCAAAGGAGAACTCAGCATTTGACTGAAAGCATTAAAGAACAAAAAATTGAGATTTTACATTTCAACTGTCAGAACTGACCCTGCTGGTCATTAGCAGAAATACTGAGGTTGGGAGGATTAGTGATACGGGTGGGCGGGTAATAATCTTCAACTTTAGCTCTGTATAAGGTTTGTGGAAATCTATTTAGTAGCAAGTACTCCACTAATACTCAATGAAATGTCCATGAAAAACTCCAGGAAAGATTTAAGTTCAAAGACTTTTTTGTTTTGTTCTGTTTTTTTTGAGACAGGGTCTCACACTATGTAGTTGAGACTGCCCTGGAACTCACTATGTAGCCCATGCTGGTCTCAAACTCACAGTGATCCTTCTGCCTCAGCCTCTCCAAGTGCTGGGATTACAGGGGTGCACCACCACCACGCTAGGCTTCTAAATGACATTTTTTGCAGATATCAACAGAGGTTACACACTGAAGCCACTCAAGTCAAGGAAGCTAACTACAAGAATGAGAAGGCAAAAAAAAGAGCAAAACTTGTTTTGAAAAACTCAGGATTCTTGTGAAAACCTTCCCAGCCTTGAAACCACGCCTACCCGACAACTTCAAAGGTAACCAGAGTGAATTAGGGTAATAAAAGGAGTACTCACTGGTTTCCAAACTCTGACGCTACAAATAGGAAGCCTGTCTTAAGTACACACATGGCAGCAGCAACAGGCACAGTATCAAAATATTTTAGCCGAATCTCAGTTACCTGGAATGAAAGGAAAATATTCTATTTGTTTGTTTTTCTCTGTTAGAGACAGGGTCTCACTATATAGTTAAGACTGACCTGAACTCACTATGTAGCCCAGGCTGGTCTTGAACTCACAACATCCTCCTGCCTCAGTATCCCAAGTGCTAGGATTACGGGTGTGCGCCACCACGTCCAGCTAAAAGAAAATATTCTAGTGTACACGCAATCGAGGCCTGGCCATGGAAGAAACCCAATATTATATGAAATAGCATAAGGCCCACAGCAAATAAAGTACAATACTCATTATCTAAACCAGGAGTGAAGAGAAAAACGGCAGTTCACAGGCCAGACATGGCCATTTGTTTACATACTGTCGGTGACTAGTTTTTGCTGCAATGCCAGAGTCCACAAGTTGAATCAGATTATACAGCCCACAAAACCTGGAAATATCTACAACCTGGTATTTACAAAACAAGTTTGCCAATTCTTTTTTTTTTTTTTTTTTTTGGTACCGGGTATTGAACTTGGGTCCTTGCGCTTGCAAGGCAGGCAGTGAAACCACTGAGCTAAATCCCCCGCCCAAGTTTGCCAATTCTTGATTTAAACAACTATCTAAGAAATTGCCCAATTATTCAGAGTTCCTGCACTGGATAAAGGATGTAACAAACCACTCATATTATCAGTTTTCAGCAGACAAAAAACTTATTCATACCAACTATAACTAATGGCTTCAGTGACACTGTCCAGTGTCATTGTACATAAGATTAGTAGACTAGGTATCTGTTAACCAGAGTAGGAAAACCTGTATTTATATACAAAGCCCAGGTAACCACTTTTTCAGGCATTCTATATTTTCAACTTTTTAATTTGTAAAATATTAATTGTCCTGGCTTTCTCATCTCAGAGAACTGTGTAATAAGTCAGTATTTTGTAAAACTGCTTCATAAACCTAAAATATATATAAACATGTTTTAAAAAGGTTGTTTAATTATACATAAATGTAGAAATTATATATAAATTTCCTGGGTGTGATATTAGCAGTATGGCTATGTTAAAAAAAAAAAAAAATCCTTTTTGAGGAGGCGCATCACAAATGTCATGACACCTACAACTTATTTTCAAGTGACTTTAGCCTAGAAAAAGTGTAGCAATGGTGGCTGAAAGTTTAACTCAGTGGTACTGCACTTGCCAAATACATGCAAGGTCCTCCATAGAAACTTTTATTAAACTAGGTAACAACAAATGGTTGGTTTACCATTTTTTTTACTCTTCCATCCACGGTCCACTTACCATATCTTCATCTGTCTCTAATGTGATCTTGAAGATATCTCCTTGCTCAGTTTGAGCCAAAAAGAAGAACATCGATTTGGTTTTATGAGTGGCAGAGCAGACAAAAATCATTCCTCTTTCAGGGTCATCCAAGTCATTCTAGCAAAGTCAAATACAATAAACATCTTAGAAATGGGTGTTTATTTTTGAAATTCAGTACTTTATCAATAATTGCACAGGCCACCTGAGGTCCAAGAAAGACCAGCCTGCTGACCAAAAAAACTAAAACTTTTGTCTAGTACAAATATAATAAATCTTGGGTAACTAAGTAAGATTAATTCCAGTCTACAGCCTGATCAGATTGTTAAGGCAAAAAATATCTCCAGACAGGTGTCAAAGAAGAGACATGAAATTTAGTCATCATTTCAGGCCATGAATAAAACACTCACAACTATGACATGACCATCCATCCATGGATTCCAAACCATCCATCACTAGGGCTGTTCTACACCAACTTCCTCTGATTCTTAGAAGGCACTCTCTAGTTAAGATTTTGATTTTGACCTGGGAATGGTGGCACACACCTATTATTGCATCACTCAAGAGGCTGGGGCACGAGGATCACTGTGTTCAAGGCCTTTAGAAGGCACTCTCTAGTTAAGATTTTGATTTTGACCTGGGAATGGTGGCACACACCTATTATTGCATCACTCAAGAGGCTGGGGCACGAGGATCACTGTGAGTTCAAGGCCAGCCTGGGCTACATAGTGAGTTCCAGGTCAGTCTCAACTACATAGTGAGACCCTGTCTCAAAAAGGGGGGGGGGTCCTGGGATTTAGCTCAGTGGCACTGTTCCTGCATGGCAAGCATAAGGTCCTGAGTTTGTTTCCTAGTAAGCACCCCGCTCCCTGCAAAAGTCAGTCTGAAGTACAAAGAGACCCCATCTCAAAAAAAATTTTTGTTTAAAAAGAAACACAAATTTAATAAGAGACTACAACTGCAATTACAAAAAAGTTCAACTCATTTCACAAACAAATATCTCTCTTCTTATGGCAAAGACCTTACCCGCCTCCTAGGAATTGGACACCGGATATCTGGTTGGTCACCAAAGTTCTTATAGGTGATGTAGTTTTCAGAGCAGATAAGCACTCCACTCGGACCATCCGACCCTCCTGGAACTGTCAGAGAAAACAAAATCCAGCAGTGACTTGACACAATGATGAATTACGTACCTCTCTAGCCCTCTCTCTTTCAGTACTTGAAGGCAGTTGCCTAAAGCTGAGAAATATTCCGTGTTTCTTCTTATCCATGCTAAATACGGACTATAGTTCGTATTTATATGGAAAATATTTAGCCTCAATAATACATCTAAATTTTTATATCCAAACCAGAACTCAGTGCTAACACCTATAATCTAATTGTCTGCCAGACAAGGACATCCCATATATACTTTAAAAATATAGTGGATTCATAAGCAAATTCATAGTGAGACCTTGGTCTCCAAAAAAAAAAGCTGGGAGTATGACTCAGTAAAGTACTTGCCCAGGAGGTATGAAGCTTCTGGGCTCACTCCTCAGTAATGGGGGGGCGGGGTCCTTCCTTTTTTCCAAAATCCTGTCTCAACAACAGACATAATTCACTTTGGACAACTCAAGTGCAACTAATCCAAACCACAAAGTACTAGATCACTATCTTCCCCAAACATGTTGCAATGTAGATGATATTTAGCCTTTTAATTGATGAACTAAGACTTGTAAAGTGGTAGTTTTATTCTTTAAAAAGTTTTTACTATTTTCCTACCCTTAAATTTGTTTGTTTGTTTTTTTTTCAAGCTTTGAGTTTATTGGTACATTTTAGGTATACAGTACAGTTACATTCATTGTTGGGATCTTGTTTAAATTTGTTTTTAAAAGAAATATATAACCTTCAAGAAGATACTAAAAGTTCCCTAAAAAACTATGGACCTTAAATCTTTTGGAGAGAGGGCCAGGGATTTAGTTCACTGGTTCGGCTGCCTGCCTGACAAGCAGAAGGTCCCGAGTTCGATCCAAAGTACCAAACCAAACAAAAATCTTTTGGAGAGAACTCCTGACTCCAATTCCTTTAATAAATTTTGGTCTAGGGTCAGGGATTTAGCTCAGTATATAATAAATGAGAAGACCACACCTGCCTAGGAAGTACAAGGTCCTGAGCTCAACTCTCAGTACCAAAAAATATATACATATATTTTGGTCTATCAGGTTCTTAATTTTTTGGGGGGTCAATTTTGTTAGTGGTTTTCAAAATACTATTTCTTCTAAGTTTTCTAATTCACAGTCAAATTAACAGAACAAGAATAAATATTCCAAACTAACTGCTTCTGTAGACTCTCTTATTAGAATGTGAGTTACTAAGAAGCTATATTCTCTGTCCATGTAACACTATCATTCTTCCAGTACTCTTAACATAGACAAAGTACTCAGGTTTACTATAAACAGGTTAATTTCCAAATCCTATTAAGTAAAACCTATTAAATTTGGACACAAAATGGACCAGGTAAAAGAGAGCAATTCTGCAAGAAGAGTACCTGTAATTAGGAAGTTGCCATGTTCCTCCAAAGGTTCACTGTATTTTCGGACCACATGATTTAAACCAAGGTCTAGCTCATAGAAAGTAAGTGTCTGCTGGGTATTAGCTGCTGCTTCCCCTGTTGGATCATTGTCTGCTTCCTATAGGGGAGTAAATCAGTATCATTTAAAAAAATAAAAAAAAGAACTTTTAGATGCAAAGGACATAAGGAATCCTCCATTTTAAAAATGAGAAAACAAAGACCCATAGATGCCAAATGGTTTAACAAAGGTCACACTACTATATAATGGCAGAGCTAGAAGAGGGATTCAAATCTCCAAATCGTGGACCTAGATAGAGCTGCTACTAGATGATACTGTCTTCTATTCAAGGCAAAGAATGCTCTTTCACTGCCTTTTTTAGAAAAAATTCCTAAACACAGCTGTACCTTTTCTATGCAGCTTTTCCCAACAAATACTTTAGTCAATATGCAGAATGTTTAAAACAAAGCAAAGGCTACTACATGGTCCAGCGCTGGCAAACGTATGGCACGTGTGTTATTTGTTTTAACACAAAAGATGCTAATGTATGAGTTGTTTTTTCTAAATTAAAACCTCAGTAATCAGTTTTAATTTCAGTGTTGGCACTTTGCATTAAGTAGATTTTGGGTTGGAGTTTGGGGACTCATCTCTAAAAGGTTTGCCACCACACATAGTTAATCCGTTAAGCTCTGACACATTCCAAAGGATTTCAGGAAGGCATTTGGAATATGGAAGGTATCTGTTCACAGAACAGTTTTAAGATCCACATAATGGAACAATTAGAGCTGATTGGTCCATTACCTCATAATCCATTTCCAGACAAGCAAACATTGGATTTTCAAAACCCACATCTACTCCAACCACATGATATACTAAAGTGTTGGCTTTGTGGGCCTCCAACGGAGACGAAATGGTAAGACGGGCTGCAGCATCTCTGTTCAAGATATAGACCAATTTCTGTTTCTCAATAGCACCTGTAGTTAAGAGACAAGACACACCAGATTTCCAAATAATGAGAAGACAGACTTACAGAACAGCTAGATCAAATCATGACTTTCTTAAAGATTATGAGAAGAGTGAGCACTAACTTTACAGATTTAACAAATGAGTTTTCTGCACCCTACTGTTAGTAAACAATACCATTATTTCAGACCCATCCTTCCTAATAGGAATCTTTTAATAACCCACTAACTCCTCAAAAAATTTTACTGTGCCCTAAATTTAAGGACGTTGGGAAACAAAACATAGTAAAATTGTTAGCTTTTGCATCTGATGTGGTGGCACCTTTCTGTAATCCCAGCATTCTGGAGGTTGAGGCAGGATGATTGCCACAAGTTAGAGGTCAGTCTAGACTATATGGTGAGTGACTCTGAATTAGATTAGAGCCAGTATTTTATAACTACTCAAAACAGAGCTGCCCTCTAGAGGCCTGATCAGATACACAGGATTTTCTTCAAAATCTATCAGAGAAGAGACATGAATGTGAATCATCACTTCAGGCTGATGCCTTGCTCTTGCCAAGCAGGTGCTGTGCCACTGAACTACAACTCCCACCCAAAAAGCAACTTTAAACCAGTCAATCTAAATATGATGCCAAACTACAGAGATGCATTCAACAGAACTACAAAAAGTGTCACTTACTAATCATAACAGCTCGCCCTTTGGGATCTACAGCTAAGAACTGGCCAGGAACAATGCGGCGGCATCCACTTTTGCCAAAAGTTTCTTGATGAATTTTCTCAAACATGTTCTTAGATGGCTGGTATTCCAAGATAACAATTCGACCTGAGTCACTGCCAACCACAATGTAGTCTTTGGTGCCACCTGTCAGCCTAAAGGCCATGAGTGACCGGATAACACCAAATACTTCCACAGTAAGGAGGGTATGTACTTTGCCAGTATTAGGATCTGGACGAAGTAGCTCCAAGATCTTTCCACGGGAAACAACAATTTCTTGTTGTTTGGTTCCTATATAAACAAAAAATAAAGATCATAAACAACCACAACTTATCCAAAACATAACCTGGATAGATCAAATGCCACTGAAGGGAAGTATAATTAAATAAATTGGAGGTTCAGTATTTAATTTTATTCTTTTTGAAAAGTACTTTTCCCAGAACTGAAGTGATCTAACAAAAGTGGTATCAAAGAAAGCTTTTAGAAAAAAAATAAAAATAAAACCAGAGGTAAATACTAAAAAAAACAGCAAGCTTTTAGGGCTGGGGATTTAGCTCAGTGGCTCCACCACTTGCCTCACAAGCACAAAGACACGAGTTTGATTCTGGGTACCAAAAAAACAAGCTTTTAAAAAAGGATCACAGCCGGGGATTTAGCTCAGCAGTTCCGTGGCCTGCCTTGCAAGCACAAGGACCCGAGTTCAATCCCTGGTACCTAAAAAAAAAAAAAAAAAAAAGGATCACAGGGCTGGGGATTTAACTCAGTGGCACCACACCTGCCTCAAAAGCTCAGGTCCTGAGTTCAATCCCTGGTACCCAAAACAGGGGTCACAAGCTGAGCATGGTGGTGCATGCCTGAAATCCCAGCACTCAGAAGACCAAGACAGGAGGATAACGGCAAGTTCAACGTCAGTACAGGTGGCATAGTGAGCTACATAGCAAGGCCAGCCTGAGCTACATAGCAAAATCCTTTCTTAAAAAGGGGGATTGGGAACAGTGGTTTAGTGCCGGCCTGGTAAACTCAATGTCCTGAGTTTGATCCCCAGTTCCGCAAACATAAATAAATAAAATAAAAACGGGGGGGGGTAATAGTTATTTTTAATTTTTCTAAGATTTGCCACTAATTTGTACAATTGAGAACTGTCTATAAGTGGTGTTAATGTACAGCTGCCCTTCAGTATTTATGAGAAATTATTCCTGGACACTCTCAGATAACAAATCTCTGTAGATGATCAGGCCCTTTGTATAAAATTCATAGTATTTCCTTCCACATAACATACACACATGCTTCCGTGTACTTTAAATCACTCAGAACCAGAAAGAAGCCTCTCCCCCCTACTTTGGTATCAGGATCAAACTTGGGTCCTAGGGCTTACAAAACAAACCACTGAGCCAAATCCCGGGCCCAAGACCCTATCTCAGTTTTTCTTGTTTTTACAGTGATGGAGATCAAACCTAGGGCTTCACACATATCAGGCTAGCATTTTACAATGAGCCACATCCCTAGCCTATTACCCTGTATCTTAAAACAATCTTTTTTAAAAATCATCTCTAAAAAAAAAAAATCATCTCTAGGAACTGGGCATGGTGGCACACACCTCTAATCCCAGCACTTGGGAGGCTAAGGCAGGAGAATCACTGTGAGTTCGAGACCAGCCTGGGCTACATAGTGAGTTCCAGGTCAGTCAACTACATAGTGAGACCCTGTCTCAAACGACTAAAAAAAAAAAAAAAATCATCTCTAGAACTAAGCATGGTGGCCCACACCTGTAATCCCAGCACTCAGAAGGCTGAGGTAAGAGGATTACCACAGGTTCAAAATCAGCCTGGGTTACATAGTGAGTTCAGGGCCAGCCTGAACTACAAAAGGAGACCCTGCCTCAAAAAACAAAACCAGGTCCAGGGATTTGCTTAGTGGTTTCACTGCCTGCACACACACTGTTATTTCTAAACCCAGTACAGTTTTTGTTTTTTGTTTTTTTTGTACCAGGGACAAACTCAGGACCTTGAGCTTGTGGTGCCACTGAGCTAAATCCCCAGTCCCTAAGGTTCACTTTTATAACTCAAATCAACACCTCCAAACACATAATAGCCAACTTTGTCCCCAGCACTCCATGCCTGTTATAATAATTCTAGCAGGATGAATTGACATTAACTGTTAAAAATAAGACCATCCTTCCAAACTCCCCCTCCAGGCTCAACTAACCTGCTGTCAACATACTGTTACTTTCTCTGCCACCCAGGCTAGAAATCCATACATTTCACTTTCTTATTCATGCATATAAGTAATTTCTTTTAAAAAGGATAGCAAAGAGGGGCCAGGGATTTGGCTCAGTGATTGTGCTGCCTGCCTCACAAGTGCAAGGTACTGATGTCAATCCCTGGTACCACCAAAAAAAAAAGATAGCAAAGAGCTGGGGATGTAGCTCAGTGGTGGAGCACTTGCCCAGCATGCATGAGGCCCTGGGTTCAATTCTCCCCACAGAAAGAGAGAAAGAGAGGAGGGAGAGGAGGGAGGGTAAGGGGGAGGGAAGGAGGGAAAGTAAAGAACATTCACGTGAACCCCTCAGCACAGTAAGAGCTACTGGACCAGAGAAAATAATGTTAACATGAAAGATGAATTATGTAGATTGGCTTCTGCTCAAGTACCATACAAGAGGAGTTACAACTGAAATTGCAACAAAATTCTCATGAATTGCCTAATTACTGGGGAGATTAACTTAACTCACAAATGTTCAATCTACAATGGAAAGAAAATATTTTACACATAGTACTTCTTTCACTGCAAACTCTACTGCCTAATATTTTTTAATCTGATAACCAAAATTTCAAAATCTGGCTTTTATTCTTCTTTCCAACAGTAGCCCACACCACTGCAACGTGGATATACCAATTTCCCAACAACTGTAATTACTATACAGGCAAACATACTAGAAAAAAAAAAGAAAAAAATCACCCCCCACCTTGCTCATTTTTCATGGCATAATGTAGGTGGTGAACAAACAGCAGCAAATGGCATTTTTTATATAAGCAGCAACTCCTACCTAAACTTTATCTTTCTTTCTTACAAACAATTCCTACTATCTTCTCAAACACCAACCCAAGGTCCAACTTTCCTTATAAAAAAATAACTACAATCCCTGATAACCTGACAAATACTTTCACACATTCTTCTTTCTGAATTTGAAAGTCAAATTCAGATGCTATCTTCAGCACCACATTTACTAAAATTGTAATGAAAAAGTCAAATTCAGTATCAAGGGTCATGACTTACACATCTTGTTACACAACACAGTAATATACAGACAACCTGGCACCAACAAAAGAGCCAAGAAATGCATATATACCTTTGATAAGAATCATTACACACTATGGAGGGCAGGGAAGGGAAGTGAAAAAAATTAAGATGTGTTATATACACATACCAACTCCCCACAATGAATAGTCATTGTGCACTACAATTAAAAATTACATTGTAATAAATAAATGCACTGTAATAAAGATTTTTAAAATTTTTTAAATTAGAAGCATTACACACCACAAGCTAAGGGAATGAATCTGAAATTAGGTGACAGGAAATAAAGCTCAATTTAACAATTTTCAAAGATTATAAGCCAGATTTAAATTGTTTTCTTATATATGGAAAACATTTCCTCCACAAAGATAAGCAAAATACAGTATGTATTAATTCATCTCAATTTATAAAGATAGTAGATAGAGAACTCACCAGAGAAGTTGCCATGAATGGCAAAGCTGATGCCAGTGGCTCGCTGCAAAGTCAAGTTGTACAGGAACATGATGAGAGCAAAAGTGAGTCTCTCAGTATTCCAGGTCTTAGTTATACCAACAAGATCAAATCAAAGCAAGCTAAGGACACAAAAAACAGAAATGTAGCTGGGCAACTGTCATTTTTACAGAAATTTTTATATAGGGATATATGCTTAAAAGAAGCAGAACCAACAGAGTAAGGCCTATTGAAGATTACCACACACATACTTACTGGTTGGTTAACAGTACTTTCTACATACGGTACCAGGTACCACACCATCTGCTTTTTTTTTTTTTTTTGGTACCAGGGATCAAACACAGGACTTTGTGCTTGCGAGGCAGGTGCTGCACCACTGAGCTACATCCCTGGCCCCTTTGTTTGTTTGTTTGTTCTTTTTTGAGACAGGATCTCATTATGTAGTTCAGGTTGGCCTTAAACTCAGTGATCCTCCTGCCCCAGCCTCACAAGTGCCAGGATTACAGGCATGCGCCATCATGCCCAGCTTCTACTTTCATAAAAATCTTACAATGTGTGTAATTTTATACTCATTTTATAGGTAAGAAAACTGAGGCTTGGAAATTAATTAAATCACTTAGTTGAGCAGGGCAGTACATATGTGTAATCCTCTAAGAGGTTGAGGTAGGAGGAGAACAAGTTTGATCCCAGCCAGAGCAATAGCAAGACTGTCTCAAAAACTGTTTTAAGAAAGCTGGGATGGGGCTAGGGATTTAGTGGTTCCACTGCCTGCTTTGCGCACAAGGTC